CATTGTAACTGACAGTACTTCAGTTAAAAAAAAAATCCTCCCCCCAAACAAACAAACAAACAAACAAAAAACAAAGACAGATGAACAAATGTGAAATAACAGAACATGATATTAAAATAAAGATGTATGAAACAATGTGATGTAGATTATACATAGAAATTAGGAAGGTGACAAAAATCAATGCTGGAGAGGGCGTAGAGAAAAGGGAACCCTCCTACCCTGCTGGTAGGAACGTAGTTTGGTGCAACCATTATGGAAAACAGTATGGAATATCCTTTAAAAAACTGAAAATAGACTTACCCTATGATCCAGCAATCCCACTCCTGGTAATCTATCTGGGAAAAACTCTTAATCTGAGAAGATACATGCACTTCAAAGTTCATAGCAGCACTGTTTACAGTAGCCAAGACATGGAAATAACCTATATGCCCATCAACAGATGACTGGATAAAGATGTGATATATATATACACAGACACACACACACACACACTCTTCAGCCATAAAAAATAATGCCATTTGCAGCAACATGGATGGACCTGGAGATTGTCATACTAAGTGAAGTAAGACAGAAAGAGAAAGAAAAATACCATATGATAGCACTTATATGTAGAATCTGAAAAATGACATAAATGAACTCATTTACAAAACAGAAACAGATTCACAGACATAGAAAACAAACTTATGGTTACCAGAGGGGGAAGGTGGGAGTGGAGGGATAAATTGGGAGTTTAGCATTTGCAGATACTACCTACTATACATAAAACAGGTAAACAACAAGGTTCTACTGTATAGCACAGGGAACTATATTCAATACCTTGTAATGACTTATAATGAAAAAGATATGAAGAGGAATATATATATATATATAACTGAAACACTGTGCTGTACACCAGAAATTGTATGACATTGTAAACTGACTATACTTCAATAAAAAGAAAATGAAAAAAAAAGAAATATGGAAATCCTATAGACTTGATTGAAAGCGATTAGAGAAACCCTAGAGAAAACGGATAGTCACAAGTTAGAAGTCTGTGCTCTGGCTGCAAGAGACAGTGAATGGCCAAGCTCTGGGGACTTGGGTGTGCTGGGGCCATGGCTGGCAGGCTTAGAGACAGACAGACCAGAGCCTTAGCAGCGGGTAAGGAGGCTGGTGCTGAGCATGTGGAGGGGACGGTGCTTGATGGGGTTCATGAACAAGAGTCGTGTGATGCTTCCTTGTGAACAGGGATCAAAAGAAGATGAATGAGCAGGAGGACTTTGGCCTTGGTAAGATGGTAATAATTAGGACCAGAACACAGATAAGCAGGTCCAGATGTTGGTGTTTAATAGCTGCATTGCTCTCAGATGAGAGAGAGCAAGGGAGCAGATGAGAGCTGTAGCAGAATGACATTTTGCTGTAACAAAATATGTTCTCTTTTTTCCTGTTACTGTCTTTCAAGTCCACTTTGTTCCAGTTTCTTGTTCTTCCTCTATGATGCCCTGCATTTTCCCACATCGGGGATTTCATCTCTTCCTTCCTCACTATCCCTCTTCCAGACTACCAGGTCATTCTGATTGTTAAATTCTGCCCATTCTTCAACAGAGAGCATTTTGAAGAAAACTGTCCTGAACTGTTTTTCCTCTGTGCTCTCAAAACACTTGTTGTTATTTGGCCTCTTTGATAGCAGTTATTATGTTCTGTCTTGTCTTGTAGCCAGTTGTGTATAAGTCCTACGTCCCTGAGTAAATATTGAGCTCCTTGCCATCAATAAATCAGAGAATTAACTTCACGTCTAAACACAAATCTGAGAACTACTCATACTTTGTTGACCAATGAAAAAGAGAACTAACTTATCTCCTTAAAATACTTCAATACGGGTTTGTAACCGAAATGCATTTGGAATCCAAGCGAATAAATTTACTAAATTGCTCATCTGGACTGGGAACTGTGGTCAACTCAATAGTGCATAGCCTATTCAAAGGCACTCCAATTCGGGAATTTTTATGACCACGTACATCAACAAAAATGGCTGAACATGAAAGATTTGTCCGTCACATTAAGCTGAGCTTCACGTTCGAGTTTCTGCTTTGATGGTAAATCTAAAATTTTGGTTGAGTTCTTCAAGTAACAATTCCTCATGCACTTCCAGCACAGTTCCAATCTGCATCATGTTGGAAGAATTCTTGATTGGCAGTATTAAGATCTTCATTAAAAATAAGGTTGGACATACAGATTGAGATTGAGCCATGAAGTGCCTGATATTGTTTTAACGTTTATTAATGTAAAACAGCGATGGTAGTTGTGAAATAAAAGCAGTATCATTGGCATTTTTAATATTATTGTATTTAGTTTCTAATTATCATTCAGTGTTTCCTGGAAACTTTCAGGAGCTCTCTGCTTCACAGGTTCAATTAGGTGCTCTGCTGTAGATTTAATTTGTGTGTCTGGCATTATGTCTAGTAGTTTCCCAATCTCTTTGTGTTAATATCCCCAAATTATAATGATCTAGATCCCCATCTACTTTACTGTCAGTTTTTGGTCTTTTTTAGTAATTTTCCTTTCCTGATATTTCTTGTGGTGATTTGGGCTCAATTCCTGTGGTCTTTTGTGGATGGACTTGCTACCCACTGCTTGCTCTCCTGCCTCTTTCTGCTTCTCCTTTCTCTCTCTCATGTTCTCCTGCAGAGCTGCTAATGAAACAAGAGATCTACTAGCTTTATTAATTTTACTAAAATCGGAATCCAATTGTGATGAGTGATGTCATGTGTGAGAGGAGGGTAGTGTGATTGTTGAGGAAAGGAGGCTGTTTGTTGTAGACCATCCTACAAGGGAAAAATCTTTAATCTCTAGATTTAAGAATGGTTAAGTTAGCGCTTTCAGGTTACCCATTTATGCTCCCTAAAGCCATGATGCACAAAGCACGATCCATGAGCTGATACTATCAGCATCACCTGGAAATTTATTAGAAATACAGTATCTGGGCCCACTTCAGACCTGCTAGTTCAAAACCTCACTTTTAACGCCAGAGTTTAAGAGGGCTGGCTTAAGCAGGGCAGCAGGGCTGGACTGGGTTCCAGGCCAGCGCTTGTGTTTTCCTGGGTGCCGTGGGCAACCTGCTTGGACAGAGCTTTCTATTCCCCTTCAAGGGCTCTGATTATTTTTTCTGCAGTCTGGCCTCAGTCGAGCCCGCCCCAGTTTATCTGTTGTTTGTTTGGTTGGTTGGTTTGGTTTGCTTTGCTTGTGGTTGGGAGAAGGGATTAGAAAGAAGAATCTAGCTCCTTCTAGTTCCTTTACTCCAAGCCAAGAGCCTCCTCGACCCCTAAGATGGAGGGATGTTAACAGTTATGTGGAGGGATGGAAATTATCCAGCTCCACCAGGCTGCACCCTTGCATAATATGTATGTCGTGGTGGCCAAGTAATGCTCACATCGACTTCAGGTGGAAACAGCTGTATTGAGAAAGTGATGATGTAATTCCATCCTCTCTCAGCACCTGAGATCCAAGCCCAGAATCATGTCAAAGTATCCTGTTACATAGATAATACAACTAATGGTAGTTTGAGCTTTGGCGATTTTTTGTTTGTTTATTTCCCCCATCTTCTGATAAATAGCTCTTTCCAGCTAAACAACCAAGACTTCTCTAATTATTTTGATTTTGGAATTGTGCATTTCACCTCCTGTTTTTTATGGTCCAAACATCAGAGAAAAAAAAATCTTTGGATGAACACTCCATGCTGATTGTTGAACTGTGAAACAAGAGATGACCTTGGGTAGGACAGTGTCCAATCACAGCATTGCTTTTCCCCAGAATTGCCTTCTCAGCTTCTGAGGTAGCTTAGAAGGTTGCACTGGTGTTATATGATGACCCTCTCAAGTTCAAGGGATGAAATCAGTGGTGGGTATTTGAATGTTCTCATATTCTGGACATTCAATATTTCATTTATTCTAGATTGTGGTGAAATAAACCTTCACCTATTAGAGGAGCTTACTTTTCTTCAACAGAATGACTGGGAAGTTACTGTATTTCCAGATCAGCCACAGCAGGAAATAAACCAGAACGCTCTTCTCAGCTCATTGTAAATGGTGTAGGTTTTCATTAAAC